GTTCGCATCGAACCTGGGCGCCTGGTCCCAGCACCCGTCCGAGTACCTGAAGACCTGCTTGAAATGGGCGCGCCAATTCTCGCCGTCGATGAATAGAACAATGCAGAGCTTGTGGCGGTTGCTCATCTGATAGTTCGAGATCGACGCCTCGCACAGGAACTTCAGGATGGACAGCGCCGCCTGCTTCTCCTTGCCCGCCGTGGGATATAGGTCCTGCACGGACTTCTGGACCCTGGCCACCTGGTCGAGCGGTGATCCCGAATCGGAAACCGCAGGCGCCGCGGGGGCCGCCTGGGGCGCGACGACGCTGGCCCGTGGAACAGACCCCGACAAGAGAGAGCGCGCCATGGTCGTGGGCTGCTCCTCCTCCACGCGAGGGCGCTTTGGGGAGGGCTGACCTGGGCCGTCGGCGGCGCCCTCCCCGTGAGCCCCGGCGTCAGCTGGCTGCGACGGGGCCTGGCTGGCCACGCCGCCCCTCTGCAGCATGTCCCCGAGGGCCTGGGTCAGAGTCTCTTGGGCACGGGCGGGGGGGGTCGGCTTCTCCTCATCGCTGGAGGTCAGGTCCCAGTGGCCCTCCACCGCCGTGTTCAGACGGCGGAACTGGCCCGCCGGCGGCGAGGGGCCCGCTGCGCTGGGCGAGGCCATTGGGGGACTGCAGGTGGCCGCGCAAAGAGCACGGGACGACCAGGTCTTGGAACAGAGCGCGCTGAGCCAAAACAGCTGAGGACAGGGAACATGTACGCGCATGCTGTGGTCATGATACGGTTCTCTTTGCGGGTTCCGCTGAGGCTCCTTCCGTTGTGTTTCCTGTTGTGGTTCCCCTGTGGTTCCGTGATTGGTCCCCCTAAGGCCCCCCCATGGGTCCCCCTTTGGTCCCCCTATTGGTCCCCCTTTGGTCCCCCTATTAGTCCCCCTATTGGTCCCCCTTTGGTCCCCCCATCCGTTGGTTCTCCTTTGGTCCCCCTATTGGTCCCCCTTTGGTCCCCTTATTAGTCCCCCCATTGGTCCCCCTTTGGTCCCCCCATCCGTTGGTCCCCCTTTGGTCCCCCTATTGGTCCCCCTTTGGTCCCCCTTTGGTCCCCCCATCCGTTGGTCCCCCTTTCGTCCCTCTTTGGTCCCCCTTTGGTCCCTTTGGTCCCCCTATAGGTCCCCCTTTTTCTCTCTTTGGTCCCCCTTGGTTCTTTTGTGGTTCCGTTGTGGTTCCTGTTGTGGTTCCGTTTTGGTTCCTGTTTTTGGTTCCTGTTGTCGGTCCTGCTGTGGTTCTGCTGTGGGTCCTCTTGTGGGTCCTGTTGTGGGTCCGTTGTGGCTCTCGTGCCCCTCCACTCCGCCGTCTTCCTCCTCTCCTTTCCTTCCTCCTCGTCCTCCTCCTCCTCCTCCTCCTCCAACTCTTCCTTCTCCTGCTCCTCCCCCCATCCCCGTTCCTGCAGGACCCTCGCGCAGGCTGCCCCACAACCCTGCCTCGACGAGGGCGGCCGCCAAGCCGCGCCAGGCACTCGGGCAGGACAAACGGCCCCAACGTCAGATCCTCACCGAAATCGCCGCCCAGTGTTGGTTTTTCCTGGCTCGGGGGGCCTCCGAAGGCTTCTGGCGAGACAGGAAGATAGAAAACACATCGTCCAAAAACAAAAACCACGGTCCCTTTCCTTGGGCCCCAAGCATCCCCGGATCCCTGGAGGTAAAAAACCGCAGGTCCATTGACCTCCGCTCCTCCTCCTCTTCCTCCTCCTCCTCCTCCTCCCCCTCCTCCTCTACTCCTTGGGCGCCCTGCTTGGCGGCGTTCCTGGGAGGACAAATATTTTCTATCGGATGCGGCGGCTGCGTCTGGCGGCAGCGTTGGGTCTGCGACTGACGGCATGATCTCTTATCTGCCGCGGGGCTGCGTCTGGCGGCATGATACAATGCAAAAAAGAGCACAGCAAGATGCGAAGATGCTGGCGGCATGATTCAATGCAAAAAAAACAATACACACGAGGCGAAGATGCTGGCGGAGCGGGCGATCAAGCCCTGTCCCACCTAGCCGGCAGGATATGAAACCACTCTGCATCAATCTCCGGGGCTGGGCAGCGATCCACCCGATTGTTCTCTGCCGGCTTCCAGCATGCTGAGATCTGCGGGTCAAAGAACCACGCACTATCGAACGATTGTCTGGTCACCCTCGGGTCCGCTGAACCGACGTATGGTCCCCCAGGCGCCTAGGCATTGTCTCGTCCCCTCTCGTTCTCCCGCGCCGCTCGTCGTCGTGCCTTACTCTACTCGTCGTCGTCGTCGTCGTCGTCGTCGTCGTCGTCGTCGTCGTCGTCGTCGTCGTCGTCTTCGTCGTCGTCGTCGTCGTCGGTGGGGAGGGCAGGGGGCGGCGGCGGGGAGCGTGGCTCGAGAATAAGGGTCGCTCAGCCTGCCTCTGCCCCATGAATTCTGGCACTGCAAGTCATCTGCGCGCGTCCAAGACATGCCGACCATGGTGTGCGATCTGGGGGGCGGGTCAATCGCGCCCACGATGGCTGTCAGGTGCCAGCCACTCTGATTACGGACCTGCCGCGCTGCCTGCGTGAAGTCCCGTGTCTCGCGAGCACAGACGCGCAGTTCTATGATGATGTCTGGGAGATTGACGAGCAGCTCTTCGGCTCCACGTGCAGGTGTCCGCGCTCGCTGGGCACGGGCCCAGCATTGCCCCCCGACGCTCGCACGAGACAGAATCCTCGAGCTGCGCCCACCCGCGGCGACGAGCACCCCCTACCCCACCGCCCGCGAACGAGGACACCAGTACGCGCCGCCGTTATTGCCCATGCTGCTGCATAGGTCGCCAGGCCACTGAGCTTTGTGTGGTACACGATGCCTCAGCGCCTCGTTCAGTAGCTGCTGTGGCTCCACGCCTATCCCACATTTCAGGCCCAGCGCCTTCGCGACGCAGTAGCTCCATGCGTACAATGAACAAAATGGAAAGTGGCCTTGGTCCAGGATCTCTGTGCCCGACGAAGGCGGCGGCGGCGGCGGAGGCGGATGTACAACTGGTTCAGCGGCCACGGCAGCAGCCTCGGCCACGGGCGGCGCCGCGGCTGCGGGATGTACAACCGGTTCAGCGGCCACGGCAGAAGACACGGCAGCGGCCTCGGCCACGGGCGACGCCGCGGCGCCTTGGTGCAGAACCGGTTCAGCGGCCACGGCAGCCTCGTCCACGTCCTCGGCCTCATCTGCCGCATCATCCGGTTCAGCGGCCACGGCGGCCAGGACGCCGTCGCGCCACTCCGCCGGGAGCCCGGCTACCCAAGCATCGATGCGAGGGCGCTGCTGCTTCCGCAATGCGCGGACGATCTGCGACCGGGCGCGTGCGCCGGCGGCCACGAACGCCATGGGTCCGCGGCAGAGCCCGCAGGGGCCAGCCACCTTGACCAGCGCCCGCCTGCCATTGACGCCGAAGGAGCAGGTCGGCTGCTGGCAGCGCTTCCCCATGGGGGACCAAAAAACGATAGCGAATGTCTGAATTCGAAAGACCTGGGCCGAAGATGGCTGCGGTCGTCGTCGTCGTCGTCGCCGTCGCCGTCGCCGTCGTCGTCGTCGTCGTCGCCGTTGCCTCAGATCCCCCGCCGGGGCCAGGAACGGAAAGGGGGAATACAACGCAATGCAATCCAATGCGATTGCGATGCCAATGCAATGCGGACGCAACGCAATGCGATGCGATGGCAATTCCACGCGCCTCGATCGCATCGCTCTTCCCCGCGAGCCCCTGGAGCGCCCCCCCCCTGGAGTGCGCGGGGTCATTCACCAGCGGCCTGGAACCGTGCAGGCCTGCTGCCGCCCCACTGCGGCCAGCGCCGCTTGTGATGGCCGACTCGTGGCGGGAGGGGGGGGGGGGCGCCCCCCCCCAAAAAAAAAAAAAAAAACTTCTTGAATTTTCAACTTGATTTTTTTTTGGGGGGGGGGGCGAACCCCCCCCCCCACCACCCCGAACGATGAGGAACACCCCACTACAATTACCGCCCCCCTGGCGGCGGAGCGGGCGTCCACGCGCGGGAGGGCAGAGAGAGGGAGAGTGAGAGACTGAGATAGAGAAAGAGGAAGAGACAGAGAGAGTGAGAGAGTGAGACACAGACACGCGCGCGCGTACTCCTTCCAAAAAAAACGCCCAAGAGCACTACCCAGGGGAATCCGTTACCATGATTGTCTCTCTGGGCTCTTGTGCTGGCAGGCAGGCCATCGAAAGCATGCCCTACAGTCAAAACTGATGGTAGTAATGCGCGACGAGGGTGCAGGCCCCGCGGAGGCCCATAGCGAAGCTTCTCGATTCTCGAGCGAGGCTTGCCATCGAAAGAGATCAAGGATAGACCGAAGAGGCAAGCATACAAGGGTACCCTGGGAAGGTTACCCATCCTTACCCTAGGTTTCGAGTGCACTCGCCCCTCAAAATCTTTGTTTGATCATATGCCCCCAGTGGTGGCGACCCCCTCGGCATTGCATCGTATTCTCCAGCCCCGGCTCCCAGCCACACGGCTCCGGCGGCCTCGTTTTTCCCGACTCGGGCTCGATTTCCGACTCTGGTTCTGTCTATCTCCGCGACATCACCCGATTAGCGGCTGGCCAGCGTGTACATTTTACACGGGTCATTTATGCTAGTCGTATTCGCCAGGCATTTTATCATATTGCGCTGAGGATGGCACTGTCTCGCCATGACTGTCATTGGTTCACCTGTGCTTGCAATTGTTGGCGCTTCGGCCCCACCCTTCGGCACCCACGCGGTGCATCATATGATGCAGGCCGATGTGAAATGCCCCCCCGTCTTGTCGGGAGGGGAACAGCGCTCCCGGCGGCAAAGTGTTTATTGCGCGTCCCCCCTCGACATTCTGGCCCCCAGCTGGCGTTTCAGCTTTTTCTGCTTGCTGTGAGTCGCGCGCTGTCGAGAGACGTGGCTTGGGCGATCTTCGGCCGCTCAAGCTTTCGTGTTTTGTTGCCCCAGTTTGCTTACCTTGAAAAATGCTGCGCTCATGTTAATCATGGCGCCGCCCCAGGCCTGAAGCAGTTCGGGGCCGATTTCTCGGACCGGGCGCCGCCGCTCGAGCTGCGCGTGCTGCTGCCAGAGCTCGAGGTTGACCCCCCCCCGGCCGGCGGCCGCAGCGCCACTCGACGGCGGCGACGACGACGACGACGACGGTTGAAGAAGAACAGAAAGCATACGGGGAGGCTGTAGCCTGCTGGGGGTCTCAGGCGGTCCAGCACTGGTTCCGGCCAGCAGGACGGGGGGGCGAGGTACGCGGCGCTGGCTGCGGACAGGCTTTTTGTCTTTGTTTGGCCTCCGGGTGCCGTTCTCGGACCCGGGGGACCGTCAAAAACGAAGGATCCGGGGAGAAAAACGTCACCAGATGGACCGCCGGATGGGTCTGGGCACCGATTTTGAAAGGTTTGGCTCTGCATGCCTCCTCCTTGGCCGATGGGCTCGGAGCCCATCCAGTGCAGACCTGCTGGCCGTCCCCCACTCTCAGGAGCGTTTCCTTGTCGGATCGCGCCCCCGGTTTTGGCCAACCACGCCTCGGTCACCCAACGGGGTGGCTGGACGCAGTGCAAACGGGGCTCAGTGAGAGCGCACAGGCTTGATCTTGGTGGAGCTGGGCGTGGTAGCCGCTCGCGGCCCCGGAGGTGGCCTGACATGTTGGCCGAGCTGGGTCTCGGACGCCGCAGCCGAATTGTAGCGCAGGTTTCCTGCGCGGGGCCTTCCAAAAAGGGCCTTAGCCTGTAGGACTTGTCGTCTCTTCCTCGGCGGAGGCGGCGGAAGTAGAACGAGGCCGCCTCCGCCTGCGGAAGCCGGCTGAAGCTCGTCGGAGGGCGGCGGAAGCAAAAGATGTCCCCCCAGGAGATGAACACTTTTTTGGGCTCAGGGTTCCCGAAATTGCCCACATGAGTTGAGCTGGGTGTGCGATGAGCCAGGTCTGATGGGCTTGTTTTCCACCACCACCACCAGCATAAGTTGGAGGGGGGAAGGAGGAGGAGGAGGAGGAGGAGGAGGACGAGGAGGAGGACCCCCTCCCACTCCAACTTGTGGTGGTGGTGGTGGTGGAGAACAGGCCCATCAAGGTCAGTGCAAGCGCTGCTCGGCGCGACAAGCGGAGCACTCCCAGGGTCCCAAGTGGCGGCGTCCCGAGCCCCTCCGTGCCTCCCGCCCAACGGAGCGGAGCGGCACGCTGGCAGCTCGGAAGGCATGGCACAGCGCGTCGCAGGGGCCACCGCCGCGACACGCTGAGCAGCAGATCCTGACCGTAGAAGTTAGGCTCCACGTTCCCGCCCAACGGAGCGGAGCGACACGCTATCAGCTCGAAGGGCATAGTGTGTCGCAGGGGCCACCGCCGCGACACGCCAAACAACATGTCTTGACCGTCGAAGTTGGGCTACGCGTAAGAGTTGCCTTTCGCCAGGGTGACCTCTGGTGCGGGCTCCCAGGAGTCCCCCCCCAGCGCCCGGCCTGTGCGCTTGGGTTTGGCCTACCCGCGGCCCCCTGAAGCCACGCACCAGAGGTCATTTTTGCCTAGGGTTACTCTTACGTGTAGCCGAAAAGTTCGGAGCCCCATCCTCCTCTCTTCCCGATGCATCGGAGCGCTCGTCTGCCCGCTCCACATCTAGGCCAACGGCTAACATTCTGTAATGACAGCCGGTGCCTTGTCTCTGCCTCAGGGAGGAGACCTGCATGGAGCCTCTTGAGGGCCTATAGCCCATGTTCCCCAAGCTAACTGCAAGGGGAAGCAATGAGACTTAAGCTGCTTCGAGGAATATACGCCCTTTTCGCACACAAGCAACAGCGGGGTTCCTCGGATGCCACAGACGTGGCGCTGTGCCTAAGGCCACCAACTTCTGCGGCGCCTCCCCACGCGCCACGAGGGCCCTGGAGGCCTCAATGTCACGCGTCACAATGGCTCCTGTGCACCCCTTTGTTCGCAGGCTGCATCGCGCGGCACAGACGGCACCAGCGGCTTCCGTCGGGCCCGCACCAATCATGCTCGTGAATCGTTCGCACGGGCCGGATCGGGCCAATCGCACGCGGCCGAGTCGGTCTGGCAGAGTGCCGAGTCGCAACACGTCTCATTCCTATGGAGTGGGAGGAGGAGGAGGAGGAGGAGGAGGAGGAGGAGGAGGAGGAGGAGGGTAGGAATGGGAGGAAGAAGAGGAGGAGGAGGAGGAGGAGGAGGAGGGTAGGAGTGGGAGGAGGGTAGGAGTGGGAGGAAGAAAAGGAGGAGGAGGAGGAGAGGCAATACGAGGAGATGAAAGACCGGGAGGCCCTCATGAGGGCCAGACCCTGCCGCTAAGAAGTAGTTATGTTCCGTTATTGGTGGCACCCCAGGCAGTCAATGAGGGCGTTGAAAATCGGGGGTGGACAGAACCCCCAACAGTGACACGTCGATTAGTGAATTGTCAGTTTTCGGTTCTCGAGAGGGCGCCGTGGCCGTTATTTTCCAGGTTTGCGCCCTCCAGGTTTGGGCCTCAGGTCGTTTTCACTAAACCACGTTTTACTAAAGGGGGGTCTGTCCATCCCCGAGAAAAGAGAATTAGGGTTTAACTATTGGGGCGGTTCAAAGACCCATCGCAGTTTTTGTGAAAGCGTTGTGTTAAGACGCCTCCTTGTTACATGGGAACCCCTCGCTCGGGACATCCTCGAACAAGTGCAGATTTTGGAATTGCTTGTGGATTTGAGGTACCTTCAGAAAACAGGCTCCCGTCGGGGACATCATCAAACAATCGACTTCGGAGGGAGCCCTGGGCATGTTTCAAACAATGACATGTTCAACTCAGTGTTTTCGGACCTTTCATGTGACGGGAAGCGCCTTTTTGTAACGAGACGGCGACTGGAAGATCATCGTGATCGTCATCATCAGCAGCATCGTCGTCATTGGTATCATCACCACCATCGTCAAGCCAAGGCCATTGTCAGTGCCATCGTAGCCACATGCATACACGACGCAACACACATCACCTTCATCCTACATGGCAGACAAGACAACCCCAGCGCACGAAAGCCCATACACATACAAGCACCACACAAACCATACCCACACCACTCACACTAAACACACAGCGTACGCACACCGTGCGCCCCTTCCTCCCGACCGCCAGGCACACACCTCGCATTCGCATCTTACACGCACCCACGCCCGCCCGCCAGGCACACCCCGTACGCACGCCGTGCACCTCCCCCCGCCCGCCCCCCTCCTACACACCCCGCACGTAGGCCGTACATCCCCTACTCTTCCCGCCCTTTCGAACCACACCGTGCACAGAAGCGCGCACACTCGGTCGCACACGCACACAGCCGCACACACACACAAACCCGCGGGGCGCAACCTCCAGCAAGGTGGCTCGAGAGCCAGCTTGTGGGCGCCGCAGCGCCGCAAGCCTGAGTTGCCAGAGGCTGGTGCGGCGACTGACACCCCAGCCCTTACAGTAGCGAACGTACCGACACGCGCACGCACACATGCACATTCTCTCTCTCTCTCTCACAAACGTTCACAGACCACGCGCAACACCTGACCAACACAAACTCAGGCAACCAGTATACACACGCTACTGACGGCGACCATCCTGGCATTTAGGGGAGCCCAGCGACTGTACACCAGGTGCACACGTGCGTGTTGGGTGTGAACTGATGCGCGCGTGCGCACGCAAGTTTGGAGAAGCGGCTCTTCCCACTCTTGTCCTGATATGTTCGAGAGGTTCCACCACTTTGGGCGCGAACGCGATCGTGCGATACCCTCCGACGGCTTACCCTTTGGAGGCCCAGATACGATGCGTGCCATCTCGCGGTGGGCCTGGGTCGCCGGAGCGAGGCGCGTGGACCTCCGAAGACAGCAGATCCAAAACAAGACAAGGGGCCACACACAGCCGGCCAGAGTGCGATGCCTGCCACGCCGTGGTGATCACGGAGCTACCGGGCGGTGCTCAAGTCTGTGTGGTCGAGTCCGGTCCCGAGCATGCGGCCCTCGCCACTCGACAGGGCCCTCGGCCCCCGGGCCCTCGGGCGGCGGCGCGGCGGCGCGGCGCGCCACCGCTTTCGCCAGGAAGCTTCCCTCTGCCTGACTGGCCGCCAGACCACCCCAGCCCAGCCCGAAGATCCGGACTTCGGGTTTGGCGGGGGGTGCGGGTTCCATATGTTCGTGTTCATTGTTCAATGTTCCCCAAACCCCTTCCACACACACACACACACACACACACACACACACACACACACACACACACACACACACACACACACACACACACGCACACACACACACACACACACACTGGAAATGGAGGGCAAGTTGGGGCCCTCGGGCGGGGTTGAGTGGTTTGGTGGGTGGTGACCGCTTCCGCCCTCGGGCGTTCATTGATGCAGGCAGGGGTGATAAAGGGGGGGGGGGGAGCGCCAGCTCCCTCCCCATGGACCTGGACAGGGGGTTTCGCGAGTCGTCGGAGCGTCCAAAACGGCCTTGGCGAGGAAGCCAAAACCATTGGTTTTACAAGGGTTTGGGCCCCATCGGCCTCCGGGGGGGGGGGGGGGGGGCGCTAATTAGTGCTCCCCTCTTGTTTGATCGATCTTCTCCAAGATGGCCCCAAGAAGCGCCCAGGAGGCCCCGAGAGGTCCCAAGATGGCCCCAAGAGGGCCCCAAGAGGCCCTCAAGAGGCACCCAGGAGGCCCCCAAAAGACCCCCAAGAGGCCCCAAGAGACCCCCCAGGGGCACCCAAGATGCTCCAAGAGGCCTCGGCGAGAATGCCACATCATTGATTTTACGAAGGTTTTAGCCGCATGTTGGCCTATTGGGGGGGCATTGATTAAGATGACTCCAAGAGCGCCTGGGAGAGCCCGGAATGACCTCCAAGATGGCTCAAGATATCCCAAGATGTCTCATAATGGCTCCCTCTGTGTGCTGCCCACTTCCCTGATCGAGGCAATTCCTCGGGGCATCGTTTCTGGATGGGCTGGTGGGGATTCACGAAGCGTCAACAATTCGGAGGAGGAGGAGGAAAGGGAGAGAAGTAGAAGGAGAACCAGGAGGAGGCCTTCGAGGATCTTCTGTTGTGAGAGCATTTTGGAGGACTCTTGGGGCTAGCTTGAGGTCTTCTTAG